ATGCAGGCACCGCTTCCTTTATAGTAACCGATCGGGAGCACGAGGTCAATGGCCTGCTGGAGATCCGTGCCTCGGATCCCTTTGTCTCCATGCTGGCCACCAATGCATCCATTGTTCAGGAAGGCAAGTTTGTGGTTCTCAAGAACAAAGACTTCATATTGGAGACGAACCTGGACATGAAGCTGGATGAGATATACTACGAGGTGATCAAGCCTCCCTCCTACGGCATCCTCATGTACCTGAGCAAGGCTAATGAGGGGGAGAATGGCACCACCATCTACAAGGCCACCAACTACACTTCGCTGAGCAACTTCACCCACCTGGATATAGAGCGCGAGCGATTGGTCTACTGGAACACAGAGATTGCCTCGATGGACAAAGTTAGGTGAGGATTTGAGCTTTATCTGTAATTTTACATTATATTTATTAACATTTTACAATTAGATATCGAGTTCACATTAAAACATAACAGCCGAGGGCGAAGTCATGTTCCGCATATATCCTTCGGCATATTGGGAACCCCTGCAAGTAAAGCAAAACCACACACTCTATGTAGAGGAGTCCACCAGTGTGCTCATATCCAGAGATGTCTTGGAGGTGAGTTTAGACCATGAAGCCGAAACTAAACCCTAAAGATTTAACCCTGCTTATAGGTTGTCCATCCCAACATTTCCCCGGGAGACATCACCTTCTTGGTGACCTCCTCGCCCATGCATGGCTATCTGGAGATGCAATCCATGTCCTTCGACGACGAGTACAACTGCAAGGTGTTCGATCAGTCCTCGGTCAACACCGAAAAGATGTTCTACATACAAGCTGGTGTGAATCAATCCACAGACTATTTTGTCTTCGATGTCACCAATGGAATAACCTGGCTCCGACAGCTGATGCTCAAGATCGTGATCATACCCGAGAAGCTCTACATGCACTCGAACATTATTTCAGTTGTTGAGGGCAAGACAATCCAGCTGAACCCCACGGATATACAACCATATTCGGAGTACTATCGGGGCAAGATCCTAGAGTATATCGTCACTATCGCAGCGAACTCGGGTCACATTGTAGCTGGGAACTCGAAGGTCAAGCGGTTTACCCAGAAGCAACTGGAGCAGGGCAGCATTCAGTATGTGCACAATGGCAGTGAGAATGCCACCGATACCATCACTTTGGTGGCCATGGCCAGGAACAAGGAGAGCGTGCCCTTTGAGCTGGAGGTAGCGGTGATTCCGGTGAACGACGAGGAGCCCATGATGGTCACCAATACGGGTCTGCAGGTGTGGAATGGCGGTCGTTATGTCATCAGAAATACCGATTTGTGTAAGTTTAGGATGATTTATTTTATGAAAATTATTTAGTGAGTAATTAATATCTGTACATATTTCCCTTGCAGTGGCCCAGGATTACGATACTCCACCGGAGAATCTCACCTTTGTCGTACACCACATTTACGGAGGCTACTTGGCCCGGAAGTCCGCACCTCAGCGCAAGATCGAACAGTTCACCCAGGCTCAGGTGAATCGAGAAGATATTTATTTTATGCACGACTCCAACTCCCGGCGGAACGAACTATCCTTCGTAGTCACCGACGGCCTGTTCAACACCTCGACTCAGATACTGAACATCGAGATCAAGCCCATTGAAATCCTGGCCGAACGCAATGAGAACCTGCATGTCTTTCCCCTGACCAAGAAGCAGATCCTACGCGATCATCTCCACTTCAAGTGCTCCGATGAGGAGCGGGAAATTCACTATAATATCACAGTTCCCCCGAGTCTGGGTCGCATAGTGAATGAGTTCTTGGACAATGGCTTCACGAAGGAGGTCAGTGAGTTTACCCAAACCGATGTGGATAATGGCCACATATTCTATGAGCATACGGCCGTCATCATGGAGTTTCGCATCAACGATTCCTTCTACTTCGACGTGGTGGCCGAGCGGAGTGACCGGTTGTTGGATCAAAAGTTCAATATAGAGATCTCAGTCTCTTCTGGGGGCCTCCTGAGATTCCTGCCTGTGAATAAGCTCACCGTGGACGAGGGCGGTTCGGTACCCATAAAATTGGATTTCTCAAAAATTTTGGAGTATTTAAAAACGAAGGCTGGCATCAATAATCCGGAATTGTTTATAGAAGCGATACAGAAACCCTCGCATGGCAATATTGGTTTGGGTCATGAGTTTAGGAATATGCAGAGGTATCATCCAAGTGATTTTTTCACCAAGAAAGTTTACTATATACACGATCATTCGGATACCTTGGAGGATACCATACTGATGTCCGTCTACCTAACACAGGGGTGAGTAGCAGCCAAGACAATTTAATGAATAAGATGGACAAATATTTAACACAATTTTCTATTAATTTCCAGTAACATTTTCCTGTGCAATCTGACCATACCCGTCTCCATAAATCCCATCAACGATCAACCCTTTCACTTGATCACCCATCTGCCTCAGATGACCGTGGTCGAGGGAGAAAATCGTACCATAACCAGGAATGATCTGCTCACCGAAGATGCGGATACGCCGCCCGAAGAGATCATGTACGACGTGATGAGTGGACCCACACTGGGAGTGCTCAAAAAGATCTCCAATGATGGCCAAATAGAAGACCTTTTAGCCTTCTCAAATCAGTTTACACAGGCGGACATTAACAACGACAGGATCGTGTATGTGCACTTCGGCACGCCGCAGTCCACCACATTTTGCTTCACTGTATCTGACGGGCAATCGAATGCCGCCTACGAGATATTCACCATCAAGATAGCTCCCATAAGTCTGCATCCATCGGCGGTTCAGGTGCCGGTGAAGGTCCAGCAAGGCGCTACCAGTGCCCTCATGAAACTGGATCACATTGGAGTCACCACGAATGCGCAGGTGGAGAGGTTGTCCTACAACGTCACCAACTCCCCGCTGTACGGGATCATAGTCTTCAAGCACCAGCCGACGCTGAGGTTCAACCAGCAGCAGCTGGAGACCTCGCAGATCAGCTATATGCAGACGGATCTGAATCGGTCCAATGACTCCTTCCAGGTGAGCGCCTATGTCCCGGGCACCAACTATGCCGCCCAGGTGGACGTGGTGATGGAGGTGGAGCCCGTCATCCAAATCGCTGATATAGTGATGAAGGAGGCCGACACCACCACCACGGGGGGCAAGGTGAAGCTCCTACCCTCGCTCGACAACGATAATCCGCTGTCCCTGAAGCTGAACAAGTTCAATCCGAAGTTTGTGATCACCAAGATGCCGGCAACGGGGCAGATCAGGAAGATAATCCGGAGCACGGGCCTCACTTCCGATGGCCAGAACGAGAGGTCCACGAATATATTCTCGTACAAGGAGCTCAGAAGTGGCGTGGTTTACTTTGTGCCTCATTCGACGGTGGAGGAGACCGAGGCTGATAGCGACACCTTTGATTATCAGCTGCTCATCAAGACGGTGCAGCCGGCACAGGCCTCTGTGCTGATAGAGTACAGAAGCAGGGTTGAGGAGACAGAGACGGTCCACCTGGGAAATGCCGGCGGCTTGTCCATCAATTACCTGGCCATAGGGTGTGCCATATTCATCGTTTTAATCTGCCTTCTCATCGTCCTGCTGATCCTTAAAATCCGTAAATTGCGGAAGCACAAGGCGGACATATCGAAGGACCAACCGCCGGCCTTGCCCTGTCCCCCGGACCTGACCTCCGTGAGTCCGCAGCACCACCTGCACCACCATCACAGCAGCCATCACTACGCCAGTTCCGAGGCGGACTCTGTGCCGGCTACCGGAAACTCCACCCCGTTGCCCGGCTTCAGCAATATTCCGCACTGCAAGATCATACCGGTGGAGTCGTACAAGCACGAGTTCCCCGACTACGACCCCGACGAGGAGGAGACGGATGACCAGTGCGACCCGCAGCAGATGATGCTGCCTCAGCGCTACAATCCCTACCACATGGAGCACGATGCCTGGAGCTCGTCCTGCGACATGGCCAACGACTTTGCGGGCTATGCCTCGGTGCCGCAGAGTATCTCCGGATCGGTCAGTTCGCCGCCTTCAGCTCCGCCCACGAATCCATTGCTGCGAAGGAATCAGTATTGGGTTTAAAGATCAAACATATATGTTATATATAAACAGAAGCGTATACAAAAAGAGGGATCAAAATACAGCGGAACTTCCGAGAAATTTCCGATAAATCTATAAAAACTTAACTTTCATCCGAATATTTTTAAAAACAAATATTTGCCTAACAAACTTAGTTTTTCCTCGACAAGTTTCGCTACAGAATGACAAAATCGATCAAAATGGTTCGAATTGGATCCGAATTCTTAGATTTAAGTTATTTATTTAAGTTTAAGGATTACATTTAAGGCTGATTTATGAGATTCGTTAAGGATTAGAAAGTGGAAGCATTTTATAAAAACTTACAGCAATTTTGATATGTATTTCAATATATATTTTCTATATATACATATGCAATTAAAACATATCTGGCGTGTCATATACAAAACAAAAGATTAGACTTAGAAAAGCAATCGAGAGTTATACTCAAAAAGCCAACATAACTTAAAACTAAGAGACATTGTGTTTGCCAACCTTGAATACTTATAAAAATAAATGACAATACTTTTAAGAGGATTTTTATCGTTTTAATTGGGATTGGGATAATTGGGAATAGGGATAAATAATAAAAAGAAAATGTTTGGGTGTTTGTTTTAATTCAAAGAAGAAAGGAAGCTAGTTAGGAAAGTTTAAGTGTGGATTGCCTTCAGAATAATAATATTATTATATTTATTTCATATACTTAACCCATTTGAAATAGTTTTGCTGCAGTTTAATCTGAAAAACATTGTATGATATGTGTTACACGTAAATTCTATATTATTTGTTTTAGTAACCAATTTTAGAAATGTATATTTTAAATGAAGATATTTTATTTAATAGTAATCACTTATATATTTTATAGTAATATATTTAAAGATAAATATTAGATATTTAGTTTATTTAGTATAGAAGGCCACAGTAGGAAGATCATAAAATGAAACATGCATTTGTATGCTTACTCGCTTAAAAATTAAGATGTATGTACCTTTTTGCCCACTGAATAGCATTCCCTTTCATGGAAGTATTTCGTTTACTAAAAATTAAATATTTTATACATTTAAGAATTAATTAAGTATTTGAGGCCGCATTGGAATTAAGTACTGCCTATAGCTTAATATATTTAGATACTTATTTTCTATATGCTAGTACCCATTCCATTCCTATCAAATCATCTAAACATCAAAAGAGATTTTGAATCTCAAGAAATGCTTGGTTAAAATGAAATCCTTCTGGTTTGATCGGAATCGGAAGCGGGACATGGGTTAAATATACTTTATCTTGCTTAAAAGTTAACACAAATATCACTACGATTCAATGTGATGCACATTTTGCTTTCGCTGGTCTCATTTAAGGTGATGAGATTATTTTGAGTGCACAATATGGCTTTAGAAAGCGACTACGGAGGCGGCTGCGTTGTTGCTGGGTTTCTCGGAAACCGGCGTCACGACCATGGCCTGATTATCGTATCCGTAGCCCACCTCCGTGACTATGGTGGTGGGCGTGGTGCTGTTCTCCGCCGGATAGCGAGTGCTCACCGGCGTCGTCATGGTGAGGACCGAACCCTCGGCGACACCTGCCATAAATCAGAGACAATCAGTTAGCTGCTAATTCCTCATCCAGGTAGCAATCCGTACACTTACCTGCCACACTGTAGATCTGCGAGTGCGCCTGCTCAATGTCGCTGCCATGGTGATGGCGATTGATGGCATTCAGGTTCTGTATGGTGGTGGCATTGAGATCCTTGCCATTCGCCGTTGCCACATGCGGATGTGGAAATGCCTTGGCCTGCAGGCGCTGCAGCATCCGTTGGATGGATCTCCTGTGGAAGGTCCAGCGCAGGCACTTGAAAGCGTAGCGGAGCGCAATCAGGACGAGCAGGATAGTCACCAGTAGCAGGGTCAGGTGCAGGGTGCTCTGGATGTCATGGATCTCCGCCTTCAGAGGCTCGAATCTGTTGAAATCTAAGGTGAGGAGAATTATTATTATTGAGATAAATACATAAATGAAAACAATCATAAAATGCACTTTGTAATTGTTTGCAGCGAGCGGGGAACCGTAATATGATTGTAAATATTTGCAGGCAGTATCTTACAGATAAATTATTTCTAAATGTGAGTTACTACAGGGTGAAAAAGTTAAAAACCCATAATCACAGGTTTGAATATTATCTCTTTGAAATACTATTTTACTAAACATATAAGTAAATTATTAGGATTATACTTTAAAATTAAGTGTAATTTATTTTCTAGTGATCATTTCTTTTACCTAAAAAACAAACTCATGAATGATGATCTAAGCTTGAGGAAACCTGCTCAGAAGCTTTGTAATTACAATACAATTGAAGTCTGCTTGAAGAAAACCAGACATAATAATAAACTTTCCAAATTACCCTATCGATTATATGTTAAAGCTGATCTAATCGTTTGGGAATCCATAAGAAAGTCACACAAAGACGGACGGTGTGTCATTTTTAATTTATATTCGAAAAAATCCATCCTGACTTCTAAAAGAATAGGAAGACAATGCAAATTTCCCCTTACAATATTTTCTCTTATATGTTTCCCCTTCACTCTCCATTGTCTTATCAAACTATATCAGTTTTCTTACCGGAACATTCCTTGGCACAGGTTTCCGGGTGATAATTGTGAGATTTATTATCGCAAACATTGATGCAGGGCTCGCAGCTCTCCAGAAAGGTGGAGCAGTACTCGTCCACCGGATGGCACAGCTTGCCGTGGCAACTCTTCCCCGGAATGCCATTATTCAGGGCCGTTACCAGGGAAAAGCTGGGCAGCAGTGAGGCTCCAATGGAAAGTGATAACGGGCGCATTTCCTTGCCGGACATGTGTGTGACGTAGTTTTAGTATTTATTTACCATTAATATAGTGATATTTCCGCTGCGCTCAACTGTCGTTTGCATAACACTTGCGTCCACTCTCCTCCACAGGTTTTGTGTTTTGTTTTGTTTTGCCTTTAATTATAACTTTTTAAATGCAGGCCCAAAGGTGAGTGTGATTCATGCTCCACAGACGCTGACTGACTGACTAACTTCTTTTTTTAATTGTTGGCTTCTGTGGAGTCTGAGTCTCTTTGTTGGTATTAGTGCAAAACGGGTTTTATCTTGGCCAGGTTTCGCAGCATTTTTCAACGCTTTTCGCTGAGTGTTTTTTCACATTTTCACTGGGTTTTGCCAAAAGAATTTTTAAAATCCTTTATTCGATGTCATATTGATCATTTTATATTGTTATTTGTTGTATGAAACACACTACTTTTCACGGATTTCACTCTCTGTTTGTGCGTGTCTGGCGAAGCGTTTTGAGCCACATTCAACTCGTTACTGGCCGGAATGGCTCGTCGCGTCGATCGCTCGCTGTTACCAATTACTCAGGCACCTACACACTAGCAGCTCTCGAAACCCATACACTGGTAGTGCAACTTGACTTTTGTTTACCTTTTTCACATCGAAAGTATCTCGGTATATCTATGATGTTTTCCAGGTAAGCAACAACGATCTCTGCGCTACATTGAGTGAAAACCAACTCCCGAAGGCGCAAAAGTCGCAATACTTTGAACCCAGCTTCGGTTCCTCCAATCTCGGCAGCATTTCGCCTAATGAAGGTAGAGATCAGCGAGAAACTGGCCAGCAAATAAATACAAATATCGAATTCCACTCACTCAGAGGACTGCAATATTTGTTTACACTTCAGCCAGCTTATCAGGGAAATTCAATTCTTTTCGATTTACCATTGAGTGTTATTTACATTATGCGTAAAACAATAAATTCATGGGAACAACAGTAGACAGCAAAAAAATATAAATTAAATATTAAGTTAGGGAAGAACTCTTTTTTTTAAATAATTCGAATTTTAGGTTAACACATATCAAGTGTGTAAGATATTTTAAATCTCTTAGATATATTTTGACTACTTAAAATAGATTGTTTATAGTACAGATTCAAAAATTATGATTATAAAAAGTATTATTATACTTAATTCTATATTTATTAATTCATACGAATCTTACAATATATACTTCCAAAAAAAGATATTAATTTTCTATTACAATAAAGTACTCAGTCTTGTTAGCTAATAAATACTATCACTTGATGTCATAGCTAAAAAAAGACTCATATTATAAATTCTTAGCAGCAATATAGTTCTGGTTATTGTAACTATTTTTTAACATTTTTTATTGTAATTTTCATTAGCTCAAAAACCTGTTTTGAGAGTCGATTTTCTCAGGGTTCGGAGCTGCGCTAAATATTTGATAGAGGTGTGCGACTTGGCTTTATAAAGGAAATGCCAATGGGTAGCATTGATATTTGTTCAGAAAAAGTGCCTTAAAATGTAATATTTAAAAATAAATCATTAAAAGCTGCAAAAAAATAAATCTTATTTTCAATAAATAAAATGAATAAATTGCAAATTCAGAAAATATATCTAAATGTTTAAAATAATCATTTTTATTTAACAAATTGAAAAATTTTTATTTAAAACTTCTCTTCGATTTGGCAGCACTTTTTTCCAGTCTTTCCAGGCCCGCGCTCTCTCTCTCTCTCTCGCGATGTTTTCCTCTCTGTATTTATGCTCGCTCCCATTGCAGCTACGGCTTCAGATACTTTTGTATCTCGTTCCAGCTTGCAGTGTTGTTGCCGCCGCTGCCCGCTTCTAGTTTTGAGTCAAACAACATCCATCCATCCGTCCATCCACATTCATTGTAAGCATTCGCTGAGCGGCTTTCGCTGTGGAATGAGCTGCCTTCCGCCCGCCGTTCGAACGTACTTGTAGCGTATCTGCGAGATACAAACCAATTGAAGCGCTTAAATGCAGCTGTCGTCGTTGCGTTGCGTTGCGTTGCGCGCGTGTTTCCGAATGAAAACTGTGGAATTATAACAATTATTTATCGTGTGTGCAAAAGTGTGAAAGTGAAATAGCCGCCGCCGCCTCTAGAGCGACAACGCAATTAAGTAAAAATCGTTCAGATACAATATCTGTGCATGTTTTGTATCTTGGTATCTCAACAAGTGAGGCAAAAACAAAAGTCACTCAAGTGGAATGCGTCCTTGAGCGGGCCATTCAAACACGTGTCTAACATAAATATAATAAGTATTAAATATCTATTAAATTAAAAATTAAAAATAAATAAATAAAAACCGAAAGAGATAGCTAGAGAGAGAGAAGGAGAGAGCACTCTCTTGAGATGAATAATTTCACAACCACAACTGCAGCCGCTCCTCCGCCAACAGCCACAAAGGAATCGCTGCCCCGATCAGGACATGTTAATGAGGGTAAGCCATGGGTTAGGTCCCGCTCTCGGAGCTTTCAAATTGCCCGAACATGAACAGTGGATAATTGGAAATTGATTGGGTTCGAGTGGGGCAATCGGGAACCGCATAGAAGTGATTAATTTCGGCTCTCTTTTCTCAAATTCTTCTTTGACGTTTTCCCTACCCTCAATTTAAGGCTCTCGAGGAATTGGAATTCCTTTTAGAATCTTCCCAGCTCTTGTTTTTGTTATAAAGAATTAATTTAATATTTTTTAGCAACTCTTTTCTTTGTTTCCCAAATGTATTTAAAGATTCTTTTGTTCTATCTACGTTATTTTGCTTCTGTTTTATAAAGCTCAGCTAACTGTTGATTATCTTTAACTTCTTCTTGTTTAGTTCTTTGGATGAATTTCGTTTCAAGAAATCAAGTTTTTATGTTGATAAATTTCGTATAAATATTTCGTAAGATATTTAAAATTACTTTGCTAAAATTGTATACTTTATATCTTAGATATGAAATTCGTAATCTTTGATCCATTATATTTAAAGTATGAAATTTCAGAGTATTCAAAGAGTAACCTCCTCCGATTTCGTTTCAAGAACTTTTTCACAACCATATTTCCTGTAGTTCCTACACCTCCATTCACTCCAACGATCCAATATCTTCGAATGCGAACATCAGCCAAAACAAACACTGAATTTCCTAGAACTTTTCATGTATCTGCTGCTTGCCCTGAAGTTCAAATGAAAGCCAGGCATACTTATGTCAAGTCAGATGTAAACAAAGTCGACGGGAAAGAAACACCAGCAACTCTTATCTCTTACAGTTTTTCAAATTATGTAATACTGAGTCCCTTCATTTGCATAGGAAAATGTTACAACATGGAAATCTCTCGTTCATTATAATTCAATTAATTGAAATCCATATGCGATGACAAAGAAGTGACTGTTGTGCCACAGATACTATGTATCTTTTTCGCTGACTTTGCTGTTATGCTAATGAAAAAGATTGCCCAAAAGAAGACAGAAGACTGAAGACGACCAGCAGCAAAAACTTTCTCAACTGGCAGCAGTCCGTAATCGCCAGAAGTTCCCTCTTTGGTTTGCTTCCGACTCAAATTTGGTTTTGAAAGTCTCCCCAAGACGATAAACAAAAACAAAAACACAAAAACCGAAAACAGAGAGTGAGACTGAGACCAACGACCGAACTGTGAAGAAGAAATTTCAGTTTTTAGCTGAAAAATAAACAAACGCTGGGGCTGTTATACATAGTTCGCTTTTGGAGCAATAATAGTGGCGGGGAAGCCGCCACAGAAAGGGAAAATATCTGCATATATAGCCACAGTGCTTCTCATTTTTGTTTGGAGGTGCAAAAAAAAATGATTGCCCCCTCTGGCACTTTCCATTTAATGATTACACGGCAAAAAAAAGGGAAATCTTTAGTGATTTGTTATCTTTTAATATTGAAATACTTTAAAATCGTTATCTGCTGGTTTTAGAGTTGGATCAAGGCTCTAGAAATCTTGATGGAAAGTAAGAGCGTTGTTCAACATAATCTCTCATGAACTCAACAGTAACTTCAATCCGTTCAAGGGTCTTCTTAGTTTATGACCGATTATCACTGATATTTTCCCCTAGTGCACATGCACATGCAGAAAGCATTTGTATCTTGAAGATACAGCGCGTGCAGCAAGCACCAGCTGACGCTTTGCCGGATTTGGCCGAAGGGGGATTTAGCAGCCGCTTCATTTGCGCCCAAGCACGCATGACAAAAGACCAAGAGACCCCCTCGGTTTCATTTTTGAAATAGCCACCATTTCCATCGCCATCTCCGTTCCGAACTCACTCAACTGTTGGCCTCTTTTTGCTTTATTTTATTTTTTATTTCTTATTTTTTTTGCCAGAGACTGACAAGTGAAGGGGGTTTCTGCTGCAACAGCAACATCAACAGCAACAAAAACAGAAAACAGCGGCAGTTGCATGACGAGCCGCTGCAGCCTAAATGCAGTTTCTCGTCATTTGTATACCCTTCAACAGGGTATTATAAGTCTTACAACAAATGTTTTTGTTCTTACAAAGGCAAGGGTATCCAATGTTCAGCTTCCGTTTCGCTCTTCAACTCTTATTTCTCTGCATGCCTGGAATGATTCACTTGCCACGACAACAGGATGTGGCAGTGCCTCCTGCTCCTCCACTTGGATTTCTATGGAGCCGTAGCACTTAAAGGAAACTCAGATCCCACTCCATTCCAGCTTCCAGCATTGCTGAAACACTTTCTTTAGACCGCCTTTGTCTCGACTTGCGGTGGCCTACAAAACATTCATCTTTAAGATGCCCAAATAATGGGGAAGATCTCCAAGCCAAGCCAGGCAGTGCTGCTGCCACTGGGTGTTAAATAAATGCTGGCCTAAATAAACAGCCAAGTTGTGTGCAGAATGAGTGCTCTTACATACATTAACATTTAAGAACTTCACTTAGAAGAGACGATTAAATGAAATTCTACTTTTTAATTAAACTAATTAATAACCACGAGTGGGCGTTATGAAAAGATTCAAGATTTTGCATTCATTACAGACATAAACAATAACAAAAAATATATATATATATAAATAGGGTTTAAGAGTAGTTAAGAAACCAAAGGAAAATATCTAGATTAAGAAGTCATTCAAATAGCTCTAGAGCAGATAAAAATGGCTAAATTGAGTAGGCTGATGACGCTAATTCTTGCATTAAAACTACAATACCCTCCTTAAAAGGGTATAACTGCAAGATGGAGACGAAACCATGCGATGATGGGGCATGGCATCCATGGCTAAGGTCAATGTAAGGCTGGCTAAATATACAGCTGCCGTGTGTGTGTATCCGTATCTGTATCTGTCAGATGCAACATTCAAATAGTCGGCATTGCGGGCCACATTTCTCGTTCGGTGGCAGTGGCATGTTCAACAACCTTGAGTCAGGTTTTTCCACTTTCGGCGCCGCTGCTTGCAGCTTGTTGCAACTGCAAGTCGTCAACACAGCGTCAACAGCATTTTTCCCCAGGAAAAGCAGGCACACACACACACTGCAGTATTTTCCAGCTCGATCATAAATTTTCCCGTCAAACTGCTTTCTAATTTTGGCTTTCCATCGTATGGAATTTTTTGTTTTTATGCATAATTACGAGTTTGAATTACCATTCGGGTTGTGTAACTCTTCACGCGATCGGCCGGGGAGCGCGCCATTCATGCGTGTTCACAAAGCCAAACTGAACTTGGCGTCATGAATCGGAATGGGATTCGGGCTTGGATTCGGGGGAGAAATGTGGCAGAAGAAATGGCAAAGTAAAATGCGGCGAAGCCCTGCAAATACCCACAAGAAAGGGCAGAAAAGGGGCCCAGACTTTGGCGTTCTGTGAACTGTGAATCGACATGGCCCCGCAAGGTTAATTGAAAGTGGCAGGCGAAATTGGTTGAGGTTGCCAAATCCAACTGTTTTGGCCAAATGAAAGGCGCCGCCACAACCAGCTCAAAAATTGGGCAACTAATGGCTCAATTCTGGGAACGAAAGAGGTTCGCTGGGAGGATATCGAGCAATAGCTGCAATTTGTTTCTTGAAAATAAAGTTTTTAGCATAAAACTATTAAATAATAATAAAATAGAAAGCTTCTAAAGGTTCGTATACCTAAAAGACAGGAAACATTTTGTGTATTCGATGTTTTTATATACTAATTTTCTGGGTAAACCAAAATATTAAAAAAATTCATAACTAAACCAAAAATGCATTAATTTCTATTCGGATAGCTGTTCTGTGTTAGTTTTTATAAAATTAACAAATTTTCATACTGAGTTTTAAAATTAACAACATTTGAAATTTTTCAAAATTTGACCATTTTAACAATGATTATTTTTAACGATAAAAATTTGAAAAACAAAATTTTTAATTTATTTTCTGACAAACATATCTAGAAAGATTCGCCTGTTGATGCTGATCAAGAATATATATGATTAATAGAGTCGGAAATGACAACTTCACGGCATTGCAATCTTCTGACTGAAACTATAATAATAATGTAGTAAAGGTTGAAGCCAAAGGCAGTTTTCGAACATTTCATAAGACTAAAAAAATCAATATCAGTAAATAATTAAGTTATCCAGTTTGTCCTTATTACAAATCACTGTTAAATGATATTAATTAATTAATGTCCAAGGCCAAAAGGGAAATAATTGGAAAATAAATACATAGCTAGCAAAACTGATTCTAGACCTAGGCCTGATAAGATCGAAGGGCAATTACTATCACTTCCTTTATCACCATAGATGTGTACAGTGCGGAGGCCGCGAACAGACTGAGGCCAGAGCTGCTGCTGAGCCTGTATTTATACTCCTCGAGAAAAGAGAACAGAGAAAGTGAGAGAGAGAGAGAGAGCTATCTCTAGAGATGCACAGATGCTTAGTGCATCTAGAGATGCACAGAGGGAGATGGACATACCGGAAACCAGAGAAAGAGAGAGAGGGGGAGTTAGGGAGAAAGCTATTCACTGCCATTACCATATGTATTATAATATTATTATAGCAAAAAGGAAATCGACTCGGCTGTTAATGCTGATCAAGAATGAATCCTTCACAGCGTTTCAAACTTCTGCCTAAATATAATATAATAATTTTACAAGTCTCTGAGGCTCTGTGAGCATTTTAATACTAACTGTTTAAATTATGCTTTTATTTTTTTAAATTCCTTGATATCAGCAAATTTCAATCCACCTTCGCTCAGCTGATTTCGCACCTGCACTCTCTTCTTGGCTCAAAAAGAATTCCCAAAGAAACCCAAAGCTTGTGAATCACGCGCCCTCGCTAAGTGACTTACTAACCCGTTCTCTGTTTTATTTTTCTTTTTTATTCTGGTCAAGTCAATAAAATACTTTTTCGTGTGTGACCCACATTGCACTCCGCCCAATTTATTTTGTTTATTTTCGGCTGCAAAGGTTAACAGTTCTCTGTGCCAAAACAAAACCCGTTCTCGTCCCCATATGGAGAGCCGCAATAACTCAGCTGTCACAGGAAATCGAAAAGAATTCCATGTCAAATTTGTCGTGTGACTCAGCGAATTCAAGTGACACGGCTATAATTTTTCTAGTCTTATGCACAATTTTAATGCTTTGGCCATTTCCTCTGGCTCTGGAAAAAGAAAAAACGAAACATTATTTAACGGGCAGCGTACAGTAAGGCAATTCCAGCACAGGTTTTTCTTAGCTTTTTTTGCCTTATAATTTGTTTTCGTATTTTTGCCCCGTTGCCCGTTGTGCATAATAAAAAGCCGCGCTTGCCCGGAGAATTATACAGCAAAAGCGCAGAGACGTAAGAATAGCAGGAAAAAAATCATATACAACATATATGGGTACTGGCAAGTGCCGAGACTTTGTAAGTAATATGCTGAATGCACAAAATATACCAAGAAACAAAAGGTTGTTTCAGTATTTTTAAACTAAACGACGAGTTATATACCCTTAAAGTAATTATCAACTTGGATTTGCTAACATATGTACATAGTTTCAAACATCTGGGAATATTATAGATATATTTGAAAGTTACACAAAATTACTGCTCATTAAAAATTACTACAAGTTATTTATTTATTATACTTTTTTTAAACAAAACATTCTTTTCTTTGTTAAATAAAACCAGATAAAAAATTGGTGCCAAATCACCAAGATCATATTAAACTTACTCATGTATCTGATCATATATACTCGTATCTCTTTGCATAAATCTTGGTCTAGAATTACCGCACTCTTTAAGAGTATAAACATGGTGTTGCCGCCTCTGGAAAAAGAGGGGGTTTTCAGGGGGGCCTAAGAGGGGTAAGCAACCTGAGCTGAGCAATCAGGCCGAACCACTCAACACAAGAACTCGGCGAAAACCAAACAGCGAACCAAGAAAAAGTGCGAGTAGGCAAAAAAAATATGAGAGTACTTTGTGTTTTAGTTTATGCAGCGGCACAACGTATATATATTTTTTTTATACTTCAAAACCTCGCACATATATGCATATGTATATGTATATAGAATCCTCTTAGCTTTATGTACAGTGTCTATGTGCAGTCAGAAATCAGAAGCACCTAAATTGATTATGTCCGCCAGTTCGACGCCCAGCAGTGGCAACACCACTGCAATTTCTTTTTAAAATTGCACTTAATTAAGTGCATTAACAGAGGGAGCCGGAGGGAGGGCGGAGCGAAAGGTTCCTGACCCATAATAATTCATTTTCAGCCTGCAAGCTCTCTAATTGCACTAGGAAATCTATGGTCAGAGTTCAGCTAATTGCCCGTTGACAACTGTCGAGTCAAAGAACCTTTAAATTAAGCGGAGTTTGGGGTTCGAGTGTGTTGATAAGGAAATTATGTTAATAGGGGGCAAAGTGTGGCAAGTCAAGGGAAATAGTGATTAAAATAATTTTTCAGAACGATAATTTATAACGGAACTGCAGGAAAAATAACTAATACCTTTGTTAAAAGATTTATAAATGATTCATCATTTAAAGCGTTGTACTTAAATATTGGCATTCTTTAGAAACTTAGTGAGGAAATAGTTGAAAATACCTCATCAACTTAACTATAATTACCCATATTTTTCGAATACTTCCACTTTCCTTAAATAACAAATTAGTCAATACTTTCCCAAAATATAAATCCCTGTCATTGCCAATCAAAAACCACTTTCGTATAGATACCTAGATATCAACTATCAATCCCGGTAACAAGACGCACTTGAGATGCCACTGGGAGCCACCACTTTCCCACTTGGCCACACATCCACTTCCACTTTCCGGTGACAGTGACTGAGAGTCGTCGCTGCTCCGTGGACTCCCCGAACCAAATGAAATGATAAATGACGGCAACTCGCAGACCGCAGACCCAGAGAACCAGACATCACAGACGTTTCCAATTGCTTAGATCGTGTATTTGAACACTGAGATATATTTGGATATATTTACTCTATGAAAAGTATTGCAGTTCATATTAAAGCTGACTTTACTGTTCCATATCTCCAACTTTTAGTGTTTCAAGCGGGCTTTTTCTCTCGGTGTAAACACATGGAATTGGAATCACAAAAAGGGAAACTACAAACATATAAATAACCCAAAGTTCTACGCACACACAATTAATGGGAAGACTACGCTTTCGCTTATCAGCGAGTGGGATCGCTCTATGCTCGGTTAAATCGATCAAAATGGAGCTCCCACTCCCTTCGAATCCAACTCCTCCTCCTTGGGGATTACATCTTCAATGGAATTTCTTTGTCCGATGCTCGGTTATGTCCCCAATAAGCAGTCCAAAGGTGACTCATCATCATCATAGTTCGGGAGGGGGAAACATCAAGTGGAGCACAACCGATTTTAACGATCTTGCGGGGCTTCATTAGAGTTTCGAGAGCGAGTAATCGAAGAAGATGCAGGCATTAAATATCACTTGTCATTAGATACTCTGGCACGTAATTACCTGGCCATAAAGAAGGTGCTTCCAGCTACTCACAATCTAACCAAATACCTTTTTCTATTGCTTCCGCATTGCAGTGTGCAAGGAGTGGCTCGTGCGAGAGGATGGCGCCTTGGCCTACAAGCTCCAGTCCCAGGAGAGTGAGTATTGAATTAAATAGAAAACTAGTGGGGATGAGCAACTAATTAAAAACTTTATTTTCTCCTCCTCAGTTAACGACTTCTACAAGGGAAATAGGTATAGAAATGCAGTGGTTCGGGAAGATTTTCCCACCGCCCTGCACGAGCAGATCAAGGAGAAGGAGCAGGCCCAGCGACGAGTGGATGCCTACAGGAGACGCCTGACCGAGCAGTGAGTTTAAATATATTGTTAAATATAATCGCTTTTAATTCAAAATAAATCACAATTTAACACTTTTCCTTTGGGGAAAGACAAACAAAATTATTTAAAGATAAACTATAATACTTCTAAAGAGGAATTAAAACATAGTTATAACGAAAAGAGTTTAGGTTCTATTGATTTTAATTATTTTTGCAACTTTCTTTCAAAAATCCATATCAATTTAACACCCCATAATTAACACTCATCTTTCCTAGTTCATTGATTCTATGTTTGTTCAATGGTTCTCTCTACCTTCTTTTGTTAATGAATTTTTTTTTAAATATTTGGAGAGTCATGCTGCTGCAATTTAACTTTTCTAATAGAAACTAATCACAATAGCATCTCCACAGGGAGGAGCATGACAAGCGAGTGGCCAAAGAAATAGCTGACAAGCTGGAACGCGATCTGCAGGAGCAGCAGCAGAAGGAGCTGCAGCAAAGTGAGCTGATAGCCAAGCAAATGCAGGTGAGTGTTTGTGTTCCTTTAGCAAAATAAAGTTCTTAAACCATCTTAATTTCAGGAAATCTATGTAAATCTTCCACCTGTACCGCCACCAGCCACACGCGACAAGAGCCGTCCGCCGCCCCGCCCTGCCAAAGCAAGTATACACCAGCAGCAGCAACAGCAGCAACAGCAGCAGCAGCAGCAGCAGCAGCAACACTCAGAGCCAAGCACCTCGCAGCAGGCTAGATACAACCACCAACACAGTCACAGTCAACACTTCTCACAAACAGACAACTATGTAGGATTATCGCTAATACCAAATATCGTTGACCTGCCATGGACAGCGGCCACACCGACCACAAGCACCAGCACTCCCAGTCCCAGTAGAAACGCACAGGCACACCATTCCCTGTTGGTGAGTGCCAACTAGGGTGTAAATATGTACATATACAAATATATATATTAGAAGGAAAACTATATTGCACTCGATATCATATCAAACACATCATATACATACTTTGATATACCTACATTTTATTTGAAATATGATTGATTGTGTTGAAGATATATTCAATCATATAATTTCATATATCATAAAGCTAATACATCTATATCCTTTGGTTTAAATATAAAACAAAACATTAACATCAACAAATCATAAATTATTAAATGTTTACTTTGTTGCAATAATGCTATAGAAACTTATTTAGTGTTTAATTGATATGAAAATATATCAAGTTGGCTTTCTAATATATAAAAATGATATTGATAGCTCCTTGCTAACAAATCTAACTTTATATATTTTCATTATTTTATACTATATCTTTTTATCTTATTAAAAAAATGTATACATTTTGACCTCATAACATGTAAATATTCCTTTCTGTGCACTCACATCGTCACGTTCCTCATCAGGCACAACAGCAGCAGCAGCAGCAGCAACAGTTCCATCCATCATCATCATCGCCGGCACGTCGATCTGCTGGAACACACTCCACAACTCCATCATCAGCTACACCTAACACAACTCCACAGCACAACAACACACAACACAAACAGCACAACTTGGCTGGCATCGACGAGGTGGTGGACTATGCCGATGTTGCTGACAGCATACGCGACTACAACATTGCCGTTGTCCCGTCGCCGGCAGCAGCAACACCGGCTAGCGTGGTCGATGCAGCTGCCAAGACATCCGCGTCGTCGTCACTCCAGAAACAGCGCTCTCCCTCCCATGAAAATCTCCTAAGAACCGAACCGAAATTTCAGAAACTGTCACCGGAGAAGTACGACCAACTGGTGGGGAATTTCGGATTGGTTTCGGGATCGGGATCGGTATCGGGATCAGCCAAGGCTGCGGAGCGACACATGCAGCAGCATGCCGATGACATTGAGCTCTATGTGGATCCCTGCGACTATGCCAGCCTGAGGGAGATCGGACTGCCGCTGGAGGAGATCCAGGAGATGAGCAAGAAACTCAAGCAGGAGCAGAAAGATGCGGTACCTTTAATTGAATGCTGCTCCTAACCAACTTAACTCATATTTGTATGTATTTCCTTGCAGTTGCTGGCTCGGAGATTGCAGGCAATCGAATCCAAGGATTGTGTCCGCCAAGAGCACAGGGATCGCATGCTGGCCATTGAGGCCCAGGACAAGGAGCTGGCCAAAATGCTACAGGATAGGGTAGGAAACTCTACAAACTAATACCAAGGGAAAAACTTACTTAATATTTCGAATTCTTTCCAGGAGAAAGCTAAAGCCAAGCGGGCCAAGGAAAAAGCTCGTCTGCGAAAATCGCAGCAGAAGGAGGCAGCCGCCGTCGCCAATAGCAGCCTCCTCTGTGGCACCAACTCCCACTGTGGTCCACTGATGGCCCTGCCCCAGGATTGCCTTTCCAATCACTCGCAGGCCGCAGACATTGATGTGGAGGCCTACTCGAATCCCATCGATGTGCTCAACAATAGTCGCGAACAGAGGCCGCACAACGGCCCCTTGACCAATGGAAGTCTCACCCGGGATGGCGGATCCAATCACAGCTCCATGCAGAGACAGCAGCAGCAGCAACAGAGGAGCCTCAACATGGCTCCAGTCCGGGGGGAGGATGACATCTACACACTGCCGGTGGACAGTTGCAGGCCGGGACAGAGGCCTGTGTCCTTGCACATGGCCGCGGAGGCGGTGCAGCAGCTCCAAACCCACAATTCCATGACGAGGTACGTTCAAAAATATTTGATTTATTTTAGAAAACTCAATATATTTATTTCCCAAAATTCAATAGATCTGAGCACTATGGTTCCGAAGCCGGTTCCCACGATAGTTCCCATCACAGTGGCCAGGACATCTCGCCGCACATGAAATACTCCAAGTCCGGCGGCAATTTTGGTATATATGTATTTAAAGCTCCTCGTGGAAATGCCCGCTATATATTGATCTTTATATATCCTTTGCGCAGATCAAAGTGCCAGCCCCACGCCGCCTTACATGCCAATTCAGGGTACGCGACGATCAAATTCAAGTGAAGATCGTAAAAAGAAGTCCAAGGACAACAAGTGCACGCATCAGTGAGGGATCAGCATAATGCAATCAATCAAATCTATAAATTCTATATGCGCATATATATTTTGTACTCTCCTTTTGACAATGAAATTGTTCATACTTTCACCGATTTATTCACAAAACATGATATCTCTAGAACTTAGTTGTAGTCTGTAGTTTAAATTCATCCGAAACCGTGTATAGTTTATTGTGGTTTGCAATAAAAATTTTTAAGCAAAAATAAAATATTATAGCTAGTAGGTTAATTTGTTATTGGAAGGACAGAATGAGGCTCGGGAGAGTTTTGGTAAGTTGTTTATTAATTGTAAGCTTGAAATATTCATATAAATACATAAATGGCTTACCTACAAGCTAATTTAATATTAGTCAAACGCAGTGAAAAATCATTTCCGACCCTATAAACTATATATATTCTTGATCAGGATGAAAAGGCGAATCTGTCTAGACACATAGGAAAGACAACTTTTTTTTCATTTTTTTTCAACATTTTTTAGTAGCTAATTACTTTTTAAACAATTTAAAAAAATGGTCAAAAAATTGATAATTTTAATATTTTAATCAGAGTATGCAGATTTATTAACCTGTTAAAAACCGTATCGAAATTAATGCATTTTTGGCTGAGCTATGAGTCTTCAAAGTTTTGGTTTGTACAATAAATTGTCATATAAATATATGATAAAGAATGAGCATATTTCTACCCTTGCAGGGTTTTATAATTACGTTCTGAAGCGTCCTACGCAGTGAAGGAGTCATTTCCCACCCTATAAAGCATATATATTCTTGATCAGGGTGAACAGGCATATAGGAAAGAAAACAGTTTTTTGCAAATTTTTTCAACATTTTTAGGGACTCATTACATTTTAAATAATTTTTGAAAATTGTCAAAAAATTTAAAATGTTTTAATTTAAATTTGAGTACGCAGATTTATAATCCTCTTAAAAACTAGCACAGCGCTGAGTACCGCATCAAAATTAATGCATTTTTGGCTTAGCTATGAGTTTTTTAAGCCTTGGTTTGTAGAATAAATGGTCATATAAATATATCAATAAATATTGATTAAAAAACTCGAATATTATATGCTTAAGTATTATCGATTTTCTATACGGCCCTATTCAATTTAATTCTAAAAGGCAATGGTATAGATGGTTTGTCGCAGTAAGCTCCCTTTCTGGTTTAATTTTATTTGAGGCACTTATAGTTCAAAAAAATAACGTATACACAAAGGCATTATTATACCCTTGCAGGGTGTTATAATTTCAGTCAGAAACTTGAAACTGAGTGAAGGAGTCATTTCCGACACTATAAATCATATATATTCTTGATCAGCATCAACAGCTGAGTCAATCTAGCTAAATCCGACAAAAGTTAAATTTTTTAAAAATTAAAACAAAAATTTGACTATACAATTTTTGTCAAAAATGGGAACAAAAATTTAAGTTTTTAGATTTATAAACTTAAGACGCAGATTTGTAAACTTAATAAAATCTAGCACAGAAAAGTTTTCCGAATTGAAATCGAGGGATTATTGGCGTAGTTATGGCTATTTTAAACTTTGGTTCCTCCAATATTAAAGGGTGCACATATACGAAATATCCTTTAAGTTTATGATACATATATCAACTGATTGCCAAATAGCATATATATTCCCATTCGCATTTAAATTTAATAATTCATTAATTAAATTTTCCATAATTGATATAGTTTCAGATAGTTTGGCTACTTATACAGATACAATATGATGCAAAGTTGTGTTTTCCTTATAAATAAAATAATCAAAAGCAAAATAAAGTACAATAGATACTAATACAATAAACTATTTGATTATTCCTGGTTATTCCAATGGTTAAAAGTCTGCAATGCAAATATAATCCACAAGATACATCATGAAGTGTGACAAAACCAGAACTGCTGCATTTTCTGTTGAAGAAATTTGAAAGTCAATGAATTGAAATAGTATTCGTTAAAGAATGGCGACCTTTACCTTCTGGTATGCATATTTCCAATAGAGTACTTGCAGGTATTTCTTTTTATCTTTTCTTTTTTTCTAACATCAGCAAGTTTGCGTCCAATACCGGAGATCAAAACTTGTGAAACTGGTATTAAAAGTCACAAGTTAGGGTCTCAGGGAATCAGCCATACAAACATTTGCACATGTCACTAACAATGCCAATATATTAACATATATACGTAGTAAATGGTTCACTATTCTCTCTTTTATTTCTTCGTAATTTTCACGATTTTCTGGCTGTGATTTTGGTGGTTTCTTGAATTAAATTGCGGCTTGTAGTCAAGCAAAGAAAGCTAGCACATTGTATAGTATGATTTGTAGTTACTACTATACAACCTACTACCTCAATTTGCCAGAGAGAAAAAGGTCCTTGGTTTAGTCCCTTTTGCTGGGTGGATTTTTTGGTAAATTAAAGGATCTTTCGGGTTGGCTTTTACATGGTGTGTTTCGGTTTAAGTTTCGTTTTCGGTGAAACAAAAAAATGTATGTGGTTGGCAAACAAAAATAACAATAATGGGGAAAAATTATACATGACATTAAATGCTTGTTTTAAATTCAGAATAAAAAGTAATGTAGAATTTAATTTGATACTTAGTTATGAATCAAATAAGAAAGGTTTTGAGATGGTTATTCATTTATTTATAATATTTTATTAACATCTCCGTTTATTTAATGGTTTTTACCATATTTTATAATTGTTTTAATTAAACACAATTTGCAGAGAGGCTGTTTTATTGTTAAATTATTATTTATATTCCATTATATTCAAGGCTGGATTTCATTTATTTAATTTTTTATATGATTTAATATAAATTACTTTGATGTGTTTATGTGTTTTGTAATCTACTTTGTTATTTCTCAAAGAATTTATTTCCCTTAATTGTGGTATCGTATTGTTTTATATCGGTTTAGTTTTAATAGATTGATTTTCCTCCATTATTATGTGATTTCAAATTTGTGAGTTGTGATTTTGTTGCCAAAAACCAGTTGTTTGCATTGACAGACTCCCATAATGCCGGTCTTGTAACAGATATAAAACAGCACAAGTTCGGATTTACGGGTTTCTGTTAATGGTCCATATGTAAGTATGCACCATTTCGTTTTTCTTTTCTTTTTGTGTTGGATTAGAAGTCGTTGTAGGAATTGCATTCGTCTCGAGGAAGGATGTGGAAAAAAGCAACCCCATGTGCCAGGGGAGGGAATAGACGCGTTTAATCCATTTCCGTGAAGTTGTGAAATTCCTGCAGGATAAAAGGAGTGACTCCTGGATCTCGTCTGAGTCATCTCTGCAATAGTTTCACAATGTATTCCAAATTGCTTTGCATTTTATTCCTATTTATATTTACGATTATTTTGTTGTCTTATTGGGTATACTCTAAGGAATTTATCTGGTGGATAAAGAAGTAATGTTAATATTTATATTCTTTTAGAGTTTTAATTTATTTAAAGTGTAAATAAATGAGTGATACTTTGCATATTTGATACAATTATAGTCTCTTCGTCCTGGTCATCAATGCAGCCTTGTAAGATATCTGGAAGAAAGAGGAAATATATGTTTTAATAATTGAATGTTACTAAATCATTGCGAAATATACAATTAAATTAACATCAAGTTTGATGTGAAATATATTCTATTAAATCTAGACATACTAGTTTTTATTTCCTCCCTGACTTGGGACATATTATTACGTATTACGTATACGATACTGCTTTATTTAATGCTCTTTATAAACACTTTTAATCGTTTTTAAACTTAAAAACAAATACACTTTAATAGTTTCACAATTAATTAGTTATTTCTTCCGCAGCTTTGTTCTTTATTAAACATTTGATTGCATTTTCCAAAAGTGCAAACCTTTGTTTTATTATACTTTGTCCTGAGAACAATATAAATCCTTAAAGTTGGCAATTTGATTTGCTTTATGAAATATTTGTGGATTTTCCTCAATTGGTTGCTGCTGCCACTTGACTCGGAACCAAAATCCTCCATTGATTTGTTTAGAAATGCTTTTTGGATTAAATATTTGGATTTGGATTACACATTTGGCAAAACCGCACGCTTATGAACCGCGCTCCTTTTGTGGCCAGAGACAATTCCACTTGACTTGGCCTAATCCCCGATGGATTCTCTGCCCATTGCCTCTGGCCACGTAAGCCGATCGCTGCCGCTGCAGATTGAATTTGCAACAAAGGAAAGCCAGAACGCTGGGAGAGAAATTGCATTACATATTCATCTTTTCCTCCTTTTCGCAAAGGTGAAGGAGGAATTCCCGTATCCGAAAAAGCCGAAAAATAAAAGCATTTATATAGACTGCTGTAGCTGTATATAGATACTGTTTACAGATGTATTTATGTGGCAAGCGGTTGCTGCAGCTGAAGCTCAGAAGCGAAACTGAGGCTGAAGCCGAACCTGAAGCCATGGCCAAAGCTAGCTGTGAGCAGAGCAGCGCAGAGCGGCAACTGCGACGGCGGCTGTATCTATCGAGTGTTTTGGCTATATGTGTGCTGCCGCCGCGTTCGGTTCCCATGTTGCAGCATACTATATGTATGGTATATGATGTCGCTGGTGCTGGTACTGGTGCTGGTGCTGGTACTGCTGCGTCTTCACCCATTGGTGCTGCCACATGTTTTTGCAGCTAGAAGGAAGGAGCTGCTGCTGCCTGCTGCCTGCCCGCCGCTCGTTCGGTGGTAGACAGCCGTCGTCGGTCGTCGTCTGGAGCGCAGCAGTTCGTTGGCTGTACCTATTTTCGCGTATTCCGGCCAGGACCTGCCTCAACAACAGACAGACGCTGCCGCCGTCGTCACTCACACAACACATGCCACACACACACACACACACTCACAATGCACACACACACTAATGCGCTGCGAGAGCGGGTTTCCTTCCTACCATAAAAACCGGTAACACAGCGCTGCAAATATTTTTGCAATCTTTTTTTCCGTTTTCTTTTTCCGCAAACCCCGTTCTGTTTCTCTTTGATGGTTCTCTTAGGCCTTTAGGGCATTCTCTCTTTTTGTTTACTTTCTCAGCCTCATGGACATAACCAATTTAGTGCACTTGAAGAAAATTCATAAGATTTAATCTTTTCGGAATATCTAAACTATTATATTATTAATAAGTAAAGTATTATAAATAAGTAAAGTTGTAATGTGGGGGTTTTTAAGTTCGGAATATAATATGCAAATAAAGTAAAAAAAACGTAATAGAAAATAGAAATAGAAAAAATATAATACTTTAACCAAAATATCACTCATACGACACGTAGGAAATCCGCTTTATTTCTTTTCAAGCTCAGCTTGAAATAAATTAAAATTTGCACTATTTAATATTACTATCGCTCACTCCCGCTACATATATTTCATTTGTTGTCCTGAAATTACATTAAACTTCATTATTTATGGGAAACGTTGCGTATACGCAGCGTGGCCCTTGGTCCTGGCTCATTAATCACAAAAAATATATGCATGTTGATTTTCATTTCTGTCCAGTCGGCAGAATGCAATCATCTGGAAACTGTTTGCTTTTCCTTCACTCTCTGCCTTGTCAAATGGCATTTTTGCCATTAATTTTCATTTATCGCGCTGGCAGCACAAAATTGAATTAAAACTGCGACATTTCAATGGCAATTTGCAGTGATTGGTGGAAATTATTGAAGGGAAACTCGGTAAGTAATTAAAACCAATTATATATATGTTGAGTTAAATAAGATTTAAGGATTAATATTATTTTAAAGTTCTGATGTTAAACATCCCATTTCCTTTTTGATAAAAAGAAAACAAATGATCATGGGAAACGAAGAATTTTACAAATCTTTTCACCTTATATCGCTTTTGTTTAGTTAATTAATTTTTTGCTCTGCTTAATTGCTGAAATGCATTTTGTGTCATTTAACAATTTCCCGATTAATGGCAACTTGAAAGCTTGGCAAAAAAAACCAAGGCCAAATCACCAACACACACACAAGCACAGGCATGCAGTCAAAGCCAATGCCACACACACACATGTAAGAAGGGCACCTACTCGTAGGCAGATTGCACAGAATTATGCAATAGACTGCACTCTTTGGTTCTTCTAACTCTTTCAACGCTCTCTTCAAAGAGAGGGTGCGCTGCCCGTGGCTCTTGTTGATTCTCACTCAATGCCATTGCCATGGGAGCAACGATAAGAGTGGGGTAGAGAAGAGCGTGAATCAGAGTCAACAACATCCATCCAATTCAATTAGACGCTGCTGCTTGGCCTTCGCTGTACTCCTTTGCTGCCGCTTCCCGTTTCGTGCCACAGACAACAACAAAATGTGGAGTTGCGCTGCACGGTGGCAGTGGCAGTGGCAGCGGCAGAGGCAACCCTATTGCAGATGGGAGAGTTTTGGCGAGTGCCAGAGTTGCAGAGTTGATTAACCTTTGGGCGTTCTGTTTTGCAACTCCATTCGTGGAGCTGCTCCGATTTAAATGGAGTTGCTGTGTGCCTGTGTGTGTGTGTTATGTGTCTCCTCCTTCTGCAGTGTCTGTTGCTCTTCTCCTAGTGTGTGTGTGTGTGCGATTGTGAGTGTTGTTCGCAGCCATGTTAGCAGCCATTTTTAATGGCCATACACGATGGTCCCAACAACAAGAAGAAAGAGAGCGAGTCTCCATAGGTCTCCTCTCCAATATCCCATATCCATCTCCATCTCCATTCGATTCCGCGATTCCGTTCACTTTGCTTTCTGCTCCATTCACACTGAGCAGCTCCCCGACGAAGAACTCTTTTGGTCGCTCCCTCAAAGCTTACAGCAGTGGGCGAAAAAGTATGGAACTATCTGAATGTACTTTCTTTGCTTAATAAATCCAATTAAAAATAAGCCAGAATAAAGTAAATATACAACAATATTTAGCACTAATATTTAGGAAATAATAACAATCACAAATTATTTATAATTTATTTTTAATATTATATATAAATGTAAATTAGTAAATTTTTCGAGTAGGGCATGAGTGGGAAATAGCGCAAATCATTGCATACCTTCTGGCGTTGCCTTTTTGCTTGTACTTTACGAGTTGCTTCTCTAAAAACAGCATTTCTTCTGTGCATTCTTCGCTCCCACTATCTGTCCGGTGTTGTTAACTTCCTAGTTTTCCCTTCTACTCTTTTCTCTATCTTTCGTGTTGGTAATTGTAATTGAAATTTGGCGTTGAAGCGAGTAAATGCTCGCTCTCTATGCACACTCTTTTTGCACTTGCACCCCTCACTCCCTCTCATAGTGCGCCTGCATTTTTATTACAGTTGCCGCTTCATTTTGGGCAAAGCTGTGTTGTTTTGGCACTCTCCTCGCTTTGCTCTTCCTGTTTGTTGGTGTGGGTCATGGCTGCCTCTGTTGTGGTTGTTGCTATTATTCTTTCTGCCGCGTCATGCTACGGTTCCTTTTCACTTCACTTCGCTCCGTCCTTTCCCTCGCTCTTTCAGTTCGCGTTCTTTTTGTGTGTTTGGGTACATTGACTGCTCCTTTTTATGGCCGAGTCTGGGTCTTGGTCTGGCTCTGTTCTCTCTTCTTTTATTTCCCCTTTTTCGTTTATCGTTTCCCCCGCCTAAGCCAAAGTCACTTGCCTTGTTTTGACTGCCTCCGCCTGTCCTGATCCCTTCTTTGTTGGTGACTGACCAGCGAGATTGTGCAATATTATTATTTATTTGTCGCCGTGGCCGCCAAGCAATTAAATCATCTGGCAGATGACGCGGAAGAACTTATATTTTGGGGATTACGGAAGTGCACTTGGGGCTTAAGGCAATTTCACGATTAAATGTAAAGCTTTTCTGGGGCATTGATAAAAATTGCCTTTAAATAATAATTTCCGTTCTTTTCCTACCATCTTTAAATTTTATTTCGCATTTTAATAACATTGCATTTAGTTATCTATTTAGTAAATCTCTTCAAAATAAGAAATATCTATTAAATAAATCTGGAAGAAATAAAAGTAAATAAATACCATAACTACCGATAATTCCCATAGATACAAATCTCTTTTGCTCATAAAGCTTTAATTTACAATAAATCCAAATAACTCTAAAAGGTTAACAATTACTTAAATAAGAGTCCTAAACGATCTATCCCTTCAGCAAAAATTGATCAATCGTTTAGAGTTTGTAGCTGAATCAGAACACGAACCTGGACCCTCTCAACCTGTTCCTGTTCCACCTTTATATATATGTATACTTTATTTTGTGCCCAGTTCCTTGGGATTTGGAAAGAAGAGTATCTTCGGTGGCGATTTGTATCTGCACAGTCCGTATCTCTTATTGGCTGCTGTTTATTTGCTCCGCGCGTTCGCTTATTGAGTTTGCGTTTGCTTTATGTCTGGCGAAGGCGTTCAATGAACTCGGAGGAGGAAACTCTGCAAGCCCGGAGACTCTGAATCTCTGGGACCCTGAGATGTTGAGGCAAGACAATCGCTTCTCCCTTCTCGCATTTTAATGTCATGTTTGGAGTTTGTCGCTGGAGAAGTCGGTGGAGCAGGAAATACTTCAATGTCGTTATTTAATTTTGAATTGCATTGGAATTAA